AGATTAACAACAAGAATGACACCGAGGCTGACACGAAGGTCCCAACCACACCGGTGTTGAAAGAACAGGACATCAAGGCACTGACAGAGCTGAAGGACACGGAGCGCAAACTGAAAAAGGAGATACAGTTTCTCAGGGCCACCCAGGACAAGTTGGACGAGTCGATTTTGAAGTGGGAAAGGGTGTCGAAAGAGAACCACGGCTTATTACCACCCACGGTGATCTCAAGGGGTGGGATGGTGCACGAGAACAAGCGACAGCCAATAGCCTCGCCGGTCATGGCATGGCATACTCGTTGCGGTTGGCCCTTCGGTGCTTCGGCCTTCAGCTTTGGGTTGGACGTGACGATGGTCAGCTGCCAGAAATGCCTCCTACTTGCGCAAAGCAATGAGGAAAGGTGTGGCAAAGGAGGTGGATGAAGTCAAACAAGCATAGCTGATTTGACACCAGCGGAAAAAGACCCCGTCCTGCTTCTTCGTATGGGTGGTTGGACCTACCTTTGTCGTACAAGAAAAAGACGAAGGAGTTTTCTGATGGACAATACTAGGTAGGTCTGGGTGGGGTCAGGGCTTGAGTACGCCATTTTGGCTCAAGCCCTGACCGCTTCGGTTTTCCCACCCACCCGCACCAGAGGAAAGGTGTGGCAAAGGAGGTGGATGAAGTCAAACAAGCATAGCTGATTTGACACCAGCGGAAAAAGACCCCGTCCTGCTTCTTCGTATGGGTGGTTGGACCTACCTTTGTCCAGTGCACAAGCACAAGTTCCTTGAGTATACTTGGTTCTGCAACGGTGCGCTTGGGGTGACACATTGAAAAATGGGGTGTTCCTAACATGTCCAGTACATAAGTGCGTGTTCTTTGAGTATAACTACTTGGGAGACAAGCAACGGACGGTACCGTTTTGGAAGACACATTGAAAAATGGGGTGTTCCGAAGCAGACGAGCACCTGTTCCCCCGAACCCACCCAATATCCATAGATGGTCTGGTGCCCCACCCCACCCAATAAATGGTTTGGTGATGTTTGGTGGTTGTAGATTGGCTGTTGCCACCCTTGAGCCCACCCCACCCAATCAATTGTTTGGTGGTTGAACCTCCTTTCGCCTTCTCCCACCCTCCACCCCACCCATTTGACTGTTTGGTGATTGAATGTCCTTTCGCCACCTCCCCCTGAAAGTGCGCAAGTGAGTGCTGGGTGCGCAAGTGAGGTAAAGTGCGCAAGTGCGATTTTTTCCAGTGCGCAAGTGAGTGCTTGGCCGACAAGGAAAACCTACGAGAACCAACGAAAACCAGCCTTCGATCCCCTCAATTCCAAATCCACTTATATAAGTAGGAGGGAACTATCTTATAGGAGGGAACTTATAGGACTTGCACTTATAGGAGGGATGAATTCCAAGTCCAAACACCTCCCTCAAACCCTCCACCGTCCATGGCTCCACCACCGCTCCATTGCTCCGAGGCCCCTGCCCACCGCCGCGCCGGCGCAGTCGCACTACACGGAGGCCTCCGAGCCGCGGCCGTCTTCGCCGTTGGTCTTCGGGACGTGCGACGGCACGGCCGCGGTGGTGCGGTTCGGGGAGGGGAGTGCTCGGTGCACCTGAAGTGGTTGGTGCGTTCATGATCTGTCATTTTAGTACCATTTTCACCCATATCTGGGAATGACGACCCCAGAAAAACAATAGTTTTGGGAAGAGCGTCAAGCATCAACCAGCTCAGATGTTTGACACACTAGATGCTTTGGTGGAGAAAGACCTGTTTGTAGAGGAAAGACTTCTTCTGCATCCACTTCCATGGAATGTGAGTCAGAATGTAACCCACTTGGGCCAGTTGCGGCCACCAGTGGGTTATACCTGTGATTCAATGTGTTTCTTAATTGAAACCACGGACCTACTTTCGGAACTGGGTGCACTGAGATAGTGAGCACTCGAAGGACGGTCACTTCATTCTCAAAGTAAACCTTATATAGTACTTATATACTATAATATCAAAAACATAGTGCTATATCAAAGAGCTGGTTGCCTATGCTTGTTTCCCGAAGAGATTCTTTTCCCCCTTTCCAGGATCCAGGATCGATCGTGGATCCGAGGGCCGCCACTCGGATCGGGTCCGTGTCGCGCGGGTTTCGCGCTGCGAGGGAGACCGCTGCGGTGGCTGTGGCCTGGGCACCATTTGCCAGGGCCTAAAGAGCAAGGCTCGACATCAAAACATGGAGAAAATCCAGACTGAGCTCATGCGAGAATTATTGTGTGATTTATTCGTCTCTTTTGTGAGCTTTTGTGGATGTCCCGGCAAGATGGACCCAATTGAAAAGGACAAGTCCAACATACACTTTTGGTGGACGTTGGAGTTGTGATGTTAGCTTTCCTGTTTGGACTCGAAAGAGATTGGCATGCAAACGCTGAAAGCAAGCTCCCTGATTTTGCACGGAAGCTTTGGCTTCGATGAGTACAACCAATGAGAGATTGGACACGGAAGCTTCAGACCCCTAAAAAACAATATCATCTCCCCTACATGGTGCGTAATATTACATACACTCCCGAAAACTAACATGGACCCTGAGAATGGCACCCAAGTAGAAGAATGGTTTTCCTTTAGTTTACCAGTCGTTTTTCTCTGTCCATGTGACTTTTCAGCGGGGTATCTCCCCTTTTTGGTGCAGACATGTGCATACAGTCACAGTAGTTTCAGAGTAGATGGCACAGACCCCATGACGTCCTTTAGATGGGGGTCCATATAAACCACCGACCTTGGAGATGGTGCCATCTACTCTCAATCCACTATAATATGACATAATCTAACATAGTCCCCTTACAAGTGGGTCCTGGTGAGAGCGCAGTGGGTCCGTCATTTAGCAGGTGCCAGTACGCCCTGATGTAGCATCCACAAGCTCAGGAACACCCAAAAGATTCTACACTGCGACGAGCACATCACATGGAAGTGGACAAAATCCCTGTTTGCGAAGGACAGTAGTGTTCCAAAGGACCATTTTCCACTTCCATGTTAGTGAGCCTGATGGTATTTTGTTCTCAGATGTTCTCAGGCTACTTTGCAAGCCAGGGGTAGATGTTTTGTGGGATCGTTACTGAGAGAACCTCCAAAGAAACTCATACACATGAATTAGGGCACCTCATGATTCATGGTTTTGCTTGCGGTGATCTTTACTTCCGCTATGAACCCATGGGTATTCTACCCGAAACTGGTGAATGTTGTTGTATTTCCCCACCTGTCAGGTGAGGGTTGTTAGGTTTTATGTCAGCTGCCGTGCTTCTCCTCTCCTCCTCCTCCTCCTCTCCTTTTTCCTCCTCCTCAACCGCCAGCCCCGGATGGCAGTGTTCTGCGCCGGACCTCAAGTTGAGAACAAGTTTGAGGGCGGTCGTTGATCGAAGGGCGGTCCACTCTGGATGAATCGATCCACTCACCGGATGAATCGAAGAAACACCGATGAACACACCATGAGCACGCCGATCGATTGGGCTTGCTCTTGGCTTGCGAAGGCAAGACCCAAGACAGACCGCATTTCTGGCAGTGGAGAAGTCCAAGCCAACACCACCCGATGTGGATACGTTGGGTTGGTCTTCAGGTTCAACAAGCATATTCCATCACCTGGGGGAACACCTTTTGGAACATTCATTATATATGTCTGTCTTTTTCCTCCATGGTCAACATTCATGGTGTTGCCCCTCACCTGGCGACACCTCTCAAGGTTGGATCAACAAACAGAATGTCACCGTGTGATATTCTTCTCGTTTGGTTCGGGCACACATTCGGAGACGCGTCAGTCGGCCCAGGTCGTGAGAGGCCTCAAACAGCCCTGGAGTTGGCCCAAAAGGCCAGAAAGTGTAGCTGGATGAAGAGCTGGGGAGCGAGACACAAAGAGAAAACCATACCCTGCAAGTCCAGTCTGACTCAGTCTGACCCAGCAAAAACCTGATTTTTTAACATTCGTTTTCGTGTTTTTGTATGACCAAATATTGCCAAAAAGAGGAGGTCGTTGACCTGTACGTCTGATAGTCTATTCCTGTCGTTCTTTTGCACTCTCTCCACACTCTACATACCACCTTCCCACAGTGCTGGAACCTGACCAGAGGTGTTTTTTTTGGACACCGGACTTGTCACCAGGAAACACCGGTGTGCACATTCTAAACCTTTGATTCGCAGATTTCGTCTTCACCGCTGCAGCCACTGCCGTCCTTTCTTGGTCGCCACACGTCGTCCGAAGAAGAACTTCCCTCACTCTGCGACCGGTCACTCCGGCCATGGACGACACCCCAGGGCATTTCTCTCGCCACCGCGACCGAAGTCCGGATGCCCCACACACCTTCGGACGCGCGGGGAGCGTTCGGCGTCGCGTCCGGTGGGGGCGGGTGGTTGGTTCCCACTGGCTGGGGATGGAACATGCTGGAACAATTAACACTACCGAGGTTTAGTTTTTGTTGGGAGGGGTCTGCCATGTATGAGACGTTCCAAAAGCATTTAAACCGAGTGAGTTGGATCCCTCAAACAATGCTCAGAAGTGGCAGGTATGTGTTGAACTGTCAAACGAAAGAATTCATGGCAATGGAAACAGCTTGCCGTGCAGGTTTGTGGGAACACGCGCCTCCCTGGGAACGTATTAAGTGACCCCCCAGAGAGATAGGACATGACAGGAGCGGGGTCCAAGATCGTTGCATACGTGTCGTTTGGAATTGGCTTTAGCTTCCCACTAAACGAGAACATGTGTTGACCAGAGAGTCACCGACATCACGTCACGCGCGTGCGACAGATGGAACATGTGGAAAAAGGTCAACCGTTATTTTCCAGGGAAACTGATGGAATTTGAGTTTAAAGATCCTGATCAGCGGGATGCTTCCTGCATTTCCTGTTTTTGGGGGTGGTGGACTCAGTGGGAATCCCACCGGCGGTGGTTTGTGATGGTCTCTAGGTGGCAAGCTATTTCCTAGGGCTTTGAAAGAAGACAAATGTATATGATCAGTGCTGCTCAGGGGCGATTTTTTGGGTATTCTAGAATCTTGATGAATAAATTAAAGTTTTCCCCATTTGGATTGTGCTAATCAACAGTCTGGTAGACTCACTCCATTTTTACCCCCGAAGATCTAGCTACCCATGTGGTCAGGCTAGCCTTCCATGTGATTCAGGCCAGAGCAACCATTCAATGGGAGCAGTGGCATGATTTGTATGCAATGCCTGAATCCTTAGCTGGTGGTTCTATCTTTCGTTTCCGCACAGATGTCACCTGTAACCTGTGGTTCCGCTCAACTGGGTCTCCAGAGGGTCAGTGATCATGTTCGACACGAGACGTGGTGCTTTTCAGTGCAGGACATCGCCACTCGCCGCTTTCACCGTCCTTCCACAGCTGGGCTCGGCGGTCGGGGCGGGTCGGCGCGGTCATGTGGGGCGATCGCGGCAGGCGGCGTGGGCGAACGGGGCGGACGTGGCGCGTGGCGAAGCGGACGGTGCCTTTTTGGGTTTGTGGTCATGTTGGTCTGGCGAAGCTCCATTCAGTCAAACAGGGACAACACCGGACCATGTTCCATCATTCTGCCCCAGATTTTGGAACTTGTGGCTCATGGATTAAAAGTCGAATCATTGTGAGTACCTGCAATTCATTTTTTGTTTGTGTGTTTTTTGTGTGTTTGTGTTTTTGTTGTTGTTTATATTAAATAATTATCTCATTTTCTATATATCCTAGACGCTCCATATGCGATATTTGCCATTCCATGGGGTGGTGGTGAAAGGGGGGTCAATTGATCTGCATATGATATTTTTCAGTCCCAATTTGTCGTGTAGGCGTATTACCTACAAGATCCTAGCACCTCAAATGGGGAGTTTGTTACGAGGTGCCACAGACTTCGAAGTCTTCGTTTCGTGCCACAGGTGTCACTGAGTTTTGAGAAGAGTTACTTGCCAACTTCCCTGGATACAAGTCGTGCCAACAGTGCCAACTTCCAGTATTCGATGTTCCAACTATACCGATACCATTTCTTTTGGTTGAGATGAAAGGGATGCACACCAACGCCGGGAACTACCCGCCCTATTTCCATCTGTTTTCCGAACTTGGCTGGTGATCACTCGAGGTCGAAGCAATCGACCTCGCAGAAAAAGGGTGATTGTTAAGGAAGAAACCATGAAAAACATTGAAAAACATCCATGTGTTTTTTTTCTATATGTTATTTTTTCCCAAATTGGGGAATATGTTTTTCATTGTTTTTTTCCAATGTGTTGTTTGTTTATGGTTCCTGCACAGCAAAGCCTCAGAGGGCCTCCTGCCCGGGTCTCGTCCCAGCAAGTCCCTTTCAACTGCCTTGGGGGTCGGTGCTTCGTCAACCGTTCTACATCCAGTGCCACCGCCCAGCCCCAAAAAGAGTGTACAGTGTACAATATAGATTCGAATATAGTAATACAGACACTTTCCATACCGCTTTATACCTACCTGCTTTGCTTGCTTGAGCAAAAATATAGCCCTAAGTTATTCCTTCCAAAAATAACTATGTATATAGCTAAAACAGACTAAACAAAACTAAATAGGTCCTTCTCAGGGGTGTTCAGTCAACCCCCTAACACCCGCGGGTTGTGCCAGGTCGATGACATCGGTCGACGCCGATGCGGATGTTGAAATGAGGGGACAACCTAGAGGATACCACAGTGCTGGGACCAGATGATATGGAGATGCAAGAACCGTCAAACATGGTCAAAACCTAGAGCCCTCGTCCACCAGAAAAAAGGTTGGAACCTACAGCTCATCCATTGGATCCATGAATCTCCACCAGATCTACCGAACTTCTGAAGGGATTCCACACATTCCTTTCTTCCTTCCCACGCCGCCATCCGCTGCCAGGTGCGGTGCAGAGGCCGGGTCGGGGGCCTGCAAGTGGTCGAAGGTTCGGGTGACGGTCCGGGCTGGGACTGGTCCCATGTGTCCCGACCAAAAGTCCATACTAGCGTTCTTGTTACTACTAGTAAGGCACTTGTTACTACTAGCGATGCACTTGTTACTACTAGCGTTCTTGTTACTAGTCTGACCCAGTAAGACCTGTTTTGTTTTTGTTAACCTTCTTGACACATGTTTTTACAGGTCATTGACGAACTCCAGTGATTTTTTGAGGTCATTGACCTGTGGGGTTTGTCTTTAATGGACTGTTTGCCTGTTTGCCCTTAGTGGTTTGGGAGAGGGTGGGCGAGGTGTGGCAGCTTGTGCGGCACCCCATTGTCAGAGGTCCTGTGCCGTGGAGCCTAATCATGGCTCTATGGACATTGACTCCGAACTCAAAGCCATCATAGTTCTCAGAACTCCTTTAAGTTAGGCTGCCACCCAGGGTGAATCAACAATCTTCCTGGACCGTCGTCGTATTTGGGTGTCCAAGAAAAATCCCGAAGTACTCGTAGTGTAGGGTAAGGGTAGTCTATTGGACACCCATTGCCCAAAGGGAGGCGAATCCATTTGAACCTCGGCAGGAGCGCCTGGCAGACTGGGCTGGTCCGGTGTCGGCAGGGCGCCTGGGACGAACGACTGGCGGTGGGAGGTGACTGGTGATAGACAGGATTTACCATGGATTTACTATGAATATCTATGGAACATGTACCAGGACCCACAAGTGGTGGTTAATGGATATACCGCCTAAACCTCTAAGGGGCTCCGTTAGAAGCCCCGTTTGCCGGGGGGTCCTGGTACCTGGTGAAATGGCCGGCGTCCGCTGCCGCTTAGATACGAGAGTAAGCAGAGGCCTTCCGCCGCTGCAGTTAAGCCCAAAGCATATCGAAGCTATCCATCACTTCCAGCCAATTCCTCCTCCCGAGTACTACTACTACTCTCCTTGCCGGGCGAAGACCGGCTCCACATGTTCTTCGTGCGCCGCTCCGCTCCGCCGATGACCACCTCTTCGCGACCCCGTCCGCCACTGCTAGCAGTGCAGGTGCTTCTGTGCACAGGTAGGTGCACAGGCTGCCCGTTCCACCAGTCACCGTTCTAACCTTGATGAATTGCACAGGCAAGTTATTACAACGTCGAACACGGTGGCCATCCCGATGCATGGGATGTTCTACTGTATATATGATTGGCCTCGTCCACGCCTCCGATGCCTGCCTCTGCAAAAAAGAGTCCGGGCTGAGTGAAAACACCCGAACCCGCGGATTGAGGAATCATCTAGAGGACACCCTGACACCTGCCCTAGGGCTCCAAGTACCTCCTCAGAAGGTATTTGGACCTTCTAAACCCACCCCACCCAAACACCTTTTTGAAGGGTACTTGGAGCCCTAGGGTTGGGGTCCCTGTACAACCCCCCAAGAGTTATCCAGAGCCCTGCTGGCCATAGGGTCTCTATCCATAGCCGTGATTCCGAAGGGCCTCCCTTCGCCACCCCGGGGTCTGGCCGGACCTGCCGAAACCCCCGGACCTTCGTGCGTGCTGACGGGAGCACCAGCAATACGGTACTGACGGGCGAGAAAGTGGTAAAAATCCTAAGGTGCAGTGTTTTTCAATAGGGTCACCCCCGAACCAACTGGGTTTTGGTATGTTTTGGTCTATTTCTCCTTACCAGGGTGTCTATCAGGGAGTCTCCCCTATACACGTTCAACTTGTGGCCCAGTTTGTGCACCTCATGGATTCCAAGGCACATGCCATGCTACAGTATCATCCAGATCGCATTCTTGTCGTTGCACCTGCTCACTTGGGTTTATGTACAGGCACGTACTGTGCACATCTGAGAATCCCTTTTGTGACTGTTGAAGGAGGAAGTGTTTCCGCCTTCTTCCATTGAGTGCCCTTCAAGCTTGGCTAAAGCGGCTTGTTTTGGATCCCCTTTCCACCGGAGAAGAATCTCAGGAGCTCCCGCAACCACTTTGAAGAGCTCTTCAATGCTGATGCTCCCGAGGACAGCTGTTCTTTGTTCTGTTGACATGCGGGAAAGAGCCGGGATGTGTTCGACATGTGCCAAACAGAGCAGCACTTGCAATCATCCACCAGCTTAGCTCATTTCCCTGAGCTTGCCACAGTCTCCCACCTTTGCCCACTGTCTTGTTCTCAAAGCCAGACACCCGTGGCCTCCAATGGCTCCAATCAATACGGAACACCAGGAGGCACAACTGAGGGCGGAAACCCTCCTAGAGGCGGCGGAACGGCTGAGAGATGAGCGCATGAAGGTCTTGGGGCCCCTCGGCCGGACGCACGATGAGACCTCGCGCGGAATTTGTGGATGAGTGGATGGTGGCGTGGGCTTGCAATGAGGGACTGGCATGGTGGAAAGCGTGGTATTTTGTGGTCGCTCAGCCTTTTATAGACCATGCATTAACGGAATAATCTGATAGTGTTCTCTCTCCACCCCTACTATTTGCACATCTTTGGTCGGGCCAACAAAAGATCTGATGGCGCTGGACGCGAGGTTGTGCAAATCGGTGGACGCGCTGGTGGCCCAGCAGAGCGTCACACAGGAGCTCGCCGCTGAGGTGAGGGATGAGACGAAGTGTAAGGAAGTGAAAAAGAAACACTAACCAGTCAGCAATCCCAAAGGGGTGGTATTTGGTCCTCAAGTGAATGGATAATGGCCTCCAATAAGCACCCCTTTGGAACTTCTGGAACTTCTGGAACAGGCGTTTCTTTTTCCTCACTAACAACTGTAGGAAGTGAAAGACCAAAAGTTGAACAGCTGTAAGAAAGTCATTCATGTCATGGTGAACCGCTTGCTTGAAACACAACAAAACGTGCATCGCCACTCTTGAGGGGCAAACCTTGTTTGAAACTGTTTCCTGAGTTGTTTGGGTTGCTTCAGATGCAGGAAGAGCCTTTTATGTAGGGGGGATGGGGACCGGGAGGTGATTATGCCTTCAGAATTGCTGGGATTGGAGTAGATGACCTGTGTGACTCTAGTGCATTTTTCATGTTGCGCATTTTGTTGTGCTTTTGGAGGTGGATCCACATCCACGTCAGGGGCAACGCGGGGCCAAAACCAAGACCCGCCATGATGAGAGATTGCCTCCTGAAACTATGGGTGTGTATTTTAATAGGAAACGCCCGACCCATGGGTTTTGGTCTAGTTTCCTTCTTCCAAGTTTTTTCTTTGGGAGGTCTCCCTATTTTAAATACACACCCAGTGTGTTTTATTCATATTTTGGGTGTTCGATGATCTGAGACAGTGACCAACCAGTTGAATCATTTTGTTGAAACCCTGAAGGGCCTGAACGACGGTTTGGAGGGCCGTGAAGGGCCTAGGCAGTTGCTGATGTGTTTCGCAGTTGCTGATGGGTGTAGGATTTCTTTCTTCAACCGCCTAGCCTATAGCAGTAGACCATGTAGACATATGTAGACCACGATAAGCACCACGACCATCTTTTGAAACCATCACTACGTAAGCATCACCTTAGCAGCCCTATGTTTGAAGGGTGTCCATGCCCATGCTGATGCCAGTCATGGTGACCGTCTCATTCGACGAAAGGGTGAACCTTAGGAGAGAACACCTGTCATCTGCAGGGGAACCTGTTCCGATTGAACCCCCCCTAGTCTGCATCTTCTCAGGTTCCAAACACTGGAAGAGTGCTAACTTCCCATTTCCCACCAGATCCAACCAACACCCACGGCTCCCTCCCCCTCCCTCCCTCCCTCCCCACCCACCGCCCATGCACGAGGCCATGGCAAAGGTCCGAGAGGCGCAGCAGCTCTGCGAAGAGCTGGGAGACTTCGAGGAGAACGGACGACGAAGAGCGCGAGAGAATCGGACGAAAGCCGCTTTGAGGTTGCCGAGGAACATCTACACGAGGAACCTACGGACTGCGTTGACCATTCCCTTAGGTTCTGGAATCTTTTTGAGGAATCCACACGAAAGGGTGAATGGCTTTCGGGGTGAAAAAACGACGTTCTTTTTTTGAGGAATGAAGGACTGCCGGACTGCTGGATGAATCTGAACGAATCTTGGACGAATCTTTATGACACAGCGATGTTCATGATGTTTCCTTAATTACATCAATTCATTGATAAACGATGAGTCGATGTTCTCCTTTCACCATGTCCACTTCGGAGCCTGGAAGTGGCCGTGGAGGCTCTTGGGTCCAAGATTGTCCCAACACACCATGGTACACTCCCTGAAATCATGGCTGGGAGCCGTTGATCACAGCGGTTGGGACGATTGAATGCAATGGGTTGGGCCGACAAAAGCCGAATCCAAGAGTTTGTAGCGACCGCTGGTGCCCTTTTGTTTGCTGGTGCCCCACAACGGACGGAAACCGGGTTTTGGGGAAGTACGGAGAGATACGGACGGAAGGCCGGTGTTTGAGAAGATCGGTGGCTAGGGTTTGGAAGGGCGGGAGTGGCTGGCAGGTGCTGGCACCGAGGGAAAAAACGAGACACCCGGAGGAACCGGGAGGGAACTCGGAGGAACCCGGCTTTTTGGAGGTCTATGATCTTCTATGAGCCATGATGCTCCCTCTGATGTAAATCCTGGACATAGGCGCTTTCGCTCTACTTGTTACAGTATAGTGTTAAAGAAAAAAGCTTGTAAAAGGCTCTCTTCATATGAGAGCTTTATCAACAGCTTACATTAAGAGAGGCCACACACTCTGGGTGTGTGGAATCGTACCGGCTGCGGCGGTGGCCAAAGAGGTGAAGGAGGTGAGGAACACCGCCCCAGTATACAAAGCGCCGCAGGTCTAGACGTCTAGAAGTGGAGTTCTGCAGGAACTTGGAATGTGTTTCCTTCCATCAAGTAGGATCTGGATGAGATCTCCTCCTCCCATCTGAATTCCAAGAACCTGTTCATCTGGGGGTTATGAATCCAGATCCTTACATTGCTTGGAGCTCACCGACCGGCTCCGACCGGAGCTCATTGGGGAGAAGCTATGAGGAGTTGGCGGAAGGGAAAAACCGCCTGGTAAGGCGCCTGCGTTGAAAACCATGTTCAGAGCGACCTTTCTACACAACATCTAGATGTTGTGAGCAGGCAAATCGGTTTTTTTTGTGGAACGAACTCGAAAAAGCGGAGGAAACACGTGTGCCAAGCATCTCATGATACTTGGCGGACTCCATGTCCATGTCTTGTGGTTGAGGGAAGGTATTATGCATCACCTAGGTCACATATCATCCAAGACAGGCCATTTAGCTAACCATGCGCATAGAAATTTAGATACTCTTGCACATTGGTGATATTTGGTGATCATGTTGTGCAAGAAACTGTGGTATGTTGTATTCTGTCGTTCTTTTTATCGTACAGTACTGGCACTGGTGCGATGCGTTCGCCTCCTTTCCTCCGTTTTTTCTTGCCCTCCCAAAAGAGCTGGCAGGAGGGAGAAGCAGCTGTCTCTTGGAGCAAAGGCAGCTGTTTCTGGGTGGTTCGGGACCTTTTCGAAAACGGACCACGTTTTGGGCGGCTTGTTGGGTTGGAAGATCAGAGCGACAGAAGACACATGGCAGGCATGCGTGTCTGGAAGTAGGAGAGATAAACACGGGCCACGTATTACTGTTGGAACAGAAAAGTCATCAAAAGGCATACTACTTAGAAAACATAAGCAATGATTGTTTTGTGTGTTTTTCCCCAAAACACCAGGAAGACCTGGGAGAAGAGATAATATCTATCTAGATCCCCAACTTTCACTGCCCAATGTGTAAAGGAAGTACTGGAAAGGAATGCTTACATCATATGTCAGCCCCCGTTTACGTTGACAACGACCATCCACTAGGGCTTCAACAACCTGCTGAGAAGCTGTTTCTGGGGTGGGTGAACGGAGGGTCTAAATACCTTCTGTTTGAGCTAGGAGCCCTTCCAGGACCCCAGCGCCCAGGACTCCATTCATTCACCCCATTCACCCAGATCCCCATCCACTTGAGCAAACCCAGGTGAGCTATGCCAGCGCGCGGTGCCACTTGCGCTATGGGGGTGCCGATGAAGAGATGCAGGCGACACTGGGAGAGTGCCAAGATACATGCGCACACATTGGCTTGCTGGTTTCAAGAAGAGGTCTGCTGACACACCGCAAAAAGTGTTTCAAGATGGGATAGTTGGGCCGAAGTCGTTGCGCACTGAAACGAACATGAACCAGGACAAGGGCAGTGTGTCAAGACACCATGATTTGGTGAAGTTAGCTCGGGATTTGAATGAAAGGCATCCTTTTGAAGAGGTGCTTGATTCTTTTTGCTGGGTAAGGGATTCGTTGCACTCCGTCTCAGGACAAGGCCCTGGAGGATGGGGCGGAAGCTGCAGCTCTCTGCCGTGGCTTGAAGAGGTGAAGGATGTATCCCAAGATCTCCATGTATGGCATATTTACAGTGGTTTCAGAGTAGATGGCAGACCTCAAGATGTCCTTTGCATGGGGGTTTATATAAACCACCATTTATACCATACAACACCTAATATGCCAGGTAAGGGGCTCATACGTGTGGTCGTATCCAGGTATATCTGTGAGCCCTTTTCAACCACCTCAATTTTCCACTGATATACCCGCAACATCCTGAAACCGAAAAAATGATCAAACAGAATTGTGCATTCAGAAATTCCTGTGCCCTACACGTCTTTCGGAAAAAAAAGGACACACGCGTCAGGTGAAATGCACGTTTTCTCATTGTGGCCATTTTGGCTGTATTGGGTGGCATTTTCACACTTCCAAAGCCTGTCATACAGTGGCAAATGGGAGCATGCAGCTATGTCAGAAGTAGTGAGCTGCCTTCGCGAGTCGCAGGGTGTGTTGATCCCAGAGGAATGGCGCCCGCTGCCCCCTCAAGAGATTTAGAGCTTGTCAAACCAGGGCCTCGTTTTGTTGAAGAACAGCCCCGGATGAGAATTTTGTTCCACCCGGAAATACTCGTCAAATACGCTTTACCTGTCCAATACACAGTCTTTACCCGTCCTGTACAGGTCTTTCCCGTCCAAAACATATCTTAATTTACCCGTCCACTGGCCTGCAGTTACAAAGCTTACGTATCCGTGGTGGGACATGTTAGCAGGATATGTCGGAGAGTGAGTTCAAGAACTGTAAGCCGCAGAGTGCTAGACGGGATCCGTATCCAAATGGGAGATCCGGAAGTTGAGCTAGAAGCGCGGGCTCCGGCGCAAGTTCTTGTGTGTTTCAAAAGAAGACCATGCTCACAGAATTGCGCCGTCTTGTTTTCAAGAGCACGCTTTGCTTTTATAAGCGCACGGAAATCTCCTCCAAAATCAAGTGCGCAAAGATTTTGCGCAATGAAGCTGCAAACAACTCAAGTTATACAAGTTATATATATAAATATGTTGTATAAAGAGATGTAAATAGAGTGTTGGAGATGGAAAGGGTCAATGAATCTATGACATTCTATGACCTTCCAAGACGCCCCAATGATAACCCGTGGGGATCCAGTATTATCGGCTGTCCGAACAAGTGAACTGGCTATAGCTCAATTGAAATAAACAACTCTTTCCCAACTGTTCATTTGCTCTCCCTAGGGTGGTTGAACGGAGGGTCAAAATACATTGTTTGAGGAGGCACTTGGAGCCCCAGGGGTTGTCGGCATGCCAAAAAAAGTCTTGGCATGTTTTGCCATTTGCACCGCAAATGCTAATGATGTTTGAGGAATAATGCAGGGTAAGGGTGATCAATCAGTACAAACAAATCCTATGGGAAAGAAACACCTTAGGAAAAAAGTGGGGTTGGGTCAAAACTGGGAACCCTGATGAGCCTTGGTTCACTATGTAGCTACCAAGGTCTTCGGGATTAACTCACAGCCATGTTGCTTTCGATCAAAGTGACGATCGAACGCACCATGTGAGCGGTTCCAAGGTTTGGTGGGCAGCAAGAAAGGCGAGGCCTTCTCCTTGCTGACAGTGGGCGATGCATACCACCAGGGTAAGGCCGGCTCCGACGTGAGTTTAAAACCTTTGAGAGAATGGACCTGCATACGATGTGTTCTGTCCGAAGCCTGAGAGAGAAGGGCAAGAGGATGCCAAGAAATGAGTTTTTGAGGATCCCCCGAAATACACCCCAAACAAATCTCATTTTCCTATGTTTTCGAGCGCACGGGTGGCGTCCCATCGTTCCCGCCGACCACTGAGCCCAGGAAGCAGACAAAGCCCTCGAATACCACCGATCTGCTGCAGGCGTCTTCAAGGAGCTGCACGGAAGCGCTGCACCTGCTGGAGCACAGACCCTCCTCCCAGGTCAACTGTTTTTTGTGGGTGGGGCCACAGTGAGATGGTTTTCTTGCTTGACCGCTCGTTGCATGCAGTTGTGCATTTCGCGCTCAGTTCGTTGGGAGAGTTGGGTTTGTGTGTTTTTTTTTGCGTGAGTCTTAGTTCTGTTTTTTTTTCAATTCCGTGTCCTGTCCCGATAGATCATTTCAGCCTTGGCCTTAGGAAAGACCTGCAACCATCAACCACCCCCCACATGACCGACTTCTGAAGACGGACAGAGACAGAGACGGACTCAGCTCACCAGGAGATCGGCGACTCTGGTGGAAGTGCTTTGGCGTACCGAAAGGTGGCAGAAGATTTTCTGAAGGCGGGACCATGGAATCTCAGGGAAAAAAGGCGGGATGGTGCAGTAAAGGACTGGAAACTGGAAATGACTCAGACAGAAAGAAAACCTCCAAAATCTGCTTTGAAGGAGTCCAAGGTTCTGCAGGCATTTTGGGGAACGTGGCAGGCCATGAGAAAAAAGCATGGCAGGCAATGCTTGCATGGTCAAAGACAGCCTTCCAGAGTGAACTTTGTTATGACATGTCATGACCCTGATGCCAAAGGCTTCCCGAGGTTTCGTGAAGGCCCGGCCGCATACCTGGCCGCAAGAGCTTAAACCCAATATTGGAGGGGCCCTACCCTTCTGAGGTGAACATGCAAGCAAACCACGGGTTTTCAGCGTGATCGGACCTTTGACATTATTGTTTGTATGATGGTTTGTTAGGGTTTGGTAGTGGTAGTGTGGTAGT